GGACGTGGCGGAGTGCGGGACGTGGCGGGGCGCGGGACGTGAGACGTAGCGGAGTGCGGGACGTGGCGGGGCGCGGGACGTACCGGGCCGCATCTCCACCAGCGAGCAGTGCTGCTCGGCCCACAGCAGCGTGGTGCGCACCAGGTCGGCCGCGCTGCTGCACGACACGCACGCACTGAACGACTCCACCAGCGCCGCGCTCACTACGCTGAACTGTACGCCTTGCTAAGGAAACTATATATTTCTGTATAATATAAACCTAACCATAGGCAAGGTTTTTTGGGGCTTTCCCTTCTTTTGATAGCATTAAAAATCTTGAATCTACATTTCGATTATCCATTAACATGGGTCAAATTACATACAGTATATCAAGGTATCTACGATAGTCTCATAGACTTAGTAGCGGAATTCCACTCTACTATGTATATCTAGAATATTGATTACTGTGATAGGCCAACAGTCGCTAGGACTTTATCATCTAACACCTATATAACACTTGTTACTATCCGGAAAATAGACTCCTAGTCGGTCCTATATCAATAATAGCACATGGTTAGAAGATAAGCATTGTTCATATGATAAATAAGCTTATATTTATAAAGCAGGCGTATATTGGTCGCTATCTGGTTCCTTATCATTGACGTAGGCATAGCGCGAGCTGAGTAAAAAAATTGATGAATAGCAAAAAATGCATGTCTACCGACAAAACAAGTACGATAACATGTTATCTATCAGTGTCCTCGATCAGAAGCCCTCACGAGACTACCTTGTGGCGACCGCATGCTTCATGCCAAATTTCTGAATGTTTACACTGATAACGATTTCTATGACAATATCAAGGAAATACTTCTTTTTATTGTTTCTTTGCAAGTACTTTACACAATTGTACATGTACAAAATAACGCAATTTTGTATTATTATTAAGGATTGGCATTATCTTTGGTAAAAAAAAAATGTTAAATTTTCGAGACTTCCATGGAACATCTTAACATCGAAGCTTGCTTGATTGCCTGCTTAACACAAGAGTTGAAACAAATTGCAATAATTTCTAGTATTCACATAGTTGTTATGTCAGTCACTTCGTGACGCAACGCGACTGATTTCCTCTGTATTGCGGTTTATTTGTCTTGACACACGCCGTAGGTGGTGAAATATTTACCGAGTTAATCTGATGAAACTACATTATTAAGTGTCGACTTTGAAAAGTCTTTTCACGTGAAAACCTTTATCTCAATTGCTTTATAGTCTCCTGCAATGCTTTAAAGTCATATAAAAGGAATATGAAGGTTCTTGTACCGAACTAATTTTACTAGTTGTTTGAATGGTGTGTAGAGACTTTCATGTATGGCTTACAAGCCATGGATGGATGGACGATGGTAACATAAATGTATATTATGTTACCATCCTCTACTAAATCTCTGCTGCGCTGGCATCCCGATTTCGTAATAGAGGGAGGACATTGTCCAGCAGTGGACGTGTTGACGACGATGTATTTGTAAAGGATACGAGCCAATACTTCCAGTTGTGCATGGTGCGGTTGGCGACATGTCGCGCGAACATCTCGCGCAGTCTGCCGGAGCGCGCGCGCGACACGGGCGCGCCTGTCGCAGGCAACAACGAGTGACAGTTGCTGCAACAATACCACACCTCTTTAATCAACATTTATTCCAATTTTATTTCGCAAAATAATAAACAATTCTTAAATTATATGACTTCTAAATATCTAATCTCTTTTAATTATAAAAAATGAAAATTAGACACAGCTCACTATTCTGCAGCCTTATTCTACAGTATGTCCGATTTGTAGAACTCTTTCAGTATTTTTGGAGCGATCGTTAGATCTCAGAGTAATCTTCATACATAATATACATGATTTACACAATTATAAAGGTCTCACCTGTCATTTATAAAAATGTAGCGATCAATTAATCAATTTTGAGAAAAGGTTTGGAATAGAGATGATCTATACTTACGTGATAGAATTATTTAAACATTCTATTTGCTGTCGCAGGCTTTCCATCTCCTCTTTAATTTGATTTCTCTCAGCTTTCAACTGTTTGATATACTCGGCACCTTTCTGCAGCATGGCAGCTTTGCTTATCTAAAATTGACAAAATACAATTTTATATTCATTAAAGTTTGTTACATCGTTGTCGTTGAAATCAATCAGTGATTTTAGACTTTCTGCATTTTAGAGGCGTAAACGTCAACGTGTAATATTGCTAAAAATGTATTTTTTGGATGCTATACCATAAAAGGCTGTACCTCAGAGGTCTAAGGTACAGCTTTTTAAAATATTTTTTTGTTAACTGTATGTGTTACGTAGAATAGAGGCTAGTTACCTTGGCGGCGGGGTTGGTATTGAGGTGCGGTATGAGTGCCTGCAGCGTGTCGAACCCGTTCTTGATGTTGTACCTCCGCTTCTGCTCGGCGTGCAGGTGGGTGCGGCGGGCCTCGCGCGGGGACCCGCCGCGCGGGGACCCGGGGCCGCCGCCGGGGGACGCCGGCGGGGACAGCGACTGACACATAGCCACCGTTCTCTCATTTATGTCTATTTATTCTTTTTTTTTTTTTTTTTTTTTCTTTTCTTCATTTTTCATTCTTAACACATCACTGCCATTTAGTACTCATACAGGGTGTCCCTTAAGATCGTCGACTTAAGGGACACCCTTTATAAAGCGAATGTGTTGTACTAAATAATCAGGTCACTAAAATTTTATCGATCTCAGTTTCGCCCTCGCCACTGTTTATCTGTAAAATCTTAGTGCTACCCTATATTGCCCAAGAAGTCTACACGCCTAGTAGACAACCAGTAGCTGTACGTTGTCTACAGTCAGTGGCTTGCCAGCTTGCCATGACATGCATTATATCATAGTCAACGATAGTTTTCGACTCTGAAGTAGTGACGACAGATGCTAATCAAACATTATGATTTTAAAGCCTCCTAACAACACCACTAGTTAATGTCGAGTAATTGTTCAACTGACTGATCCTTTTGATAATTTGCCTGTCCAATTAGTTCATTAGTTACTTGGTCAGCTTTTAGTAACTCATTCGTAGTTATTTGATTCCTCACCTGGTGCGGGGACATGATATCGCTACCAATAGGCGATGGCTGACCCCTCCTGACTGGCGACTTGGTGGGGTCAGACCCAGCCTCCTCGCTATTGTTCAGCTTGTACATACTCTGAGCTGCAAACATAAACACATCCCCAATCAGCGCCTAGTCACGGGCCTATTATATTGGATACACATCGGAATCCTAGGTGACATACTGAATAATTTGATTTCAAGTTGTTCGTTTGTTTTACATGATATTTTTTACTCAATATTAGTCGTCGTAAGTCCGATGTATAACCAAGCAGTGGAAGGTTCGCAGACAGAGGCATAATAAATAAGTGGCGTATAGACTGACAGTGTTGCGCTGAGAGCAGCTGAGCGAGCATAACGCTAGCTTGCGGCAGCGTGGGCTCGGACGCCACGCTGTTGAGCGGCGGGGGGCGGCGCCCCGCCGCAGCCACGCCCGCCGCCCCGCCCACTGCCCCGCCCACCGCGCCGCCGTCGCGTGCTTCGCCTTCCACCACGCCGCTCGACGTAGAGCGAGACCGAATGCGAATGGCACCCGGGTTCGACTCGCGAGCCTGCAAATTGTCAACTTTGTACGTTACACGTACATCTGTACTTACCATTTCAAATGATTCGAGTGATTGCCGAGATTTCATTGCACGAGGATACGAGCGATTAAATCGCTCTTCACTTCCACAGACATCTGTTGGTCATATAAAGGAAACCTGTAGTAAATCCATTGCAAACAGTTTAAATTAAAATTTGGCATGTAGCAATTTTAAACTTGATAAGCTCGATGCACGAAGACGTTTTCGCACTTTCTGGATGGAAGCAGTTGATGGCACTTCATATAAAACGGCTTACTCCGGGAGTTTTACTCTGGAATAAGATATTACTGATAAAAACCTCAAAGCTCATACCCTCGCGTTATGCTTAGCGACGGAGACGTCTAGAGCGGAGGGCGCGGGCGCGGGCGCGGGCTGCGCGGGCGCACTCACTGTCCAGTCGGGGTTCAGCTGCGAGCCCAGCGGCAGGCTGTGCGACCGATACTGTTCCTTGCTGACGCGACCTGCGCCCGCACTGGAGCCCACGCTCGACATCTACACGCGAAACACACGGTGAGACCTCACACCTACTGTACACTGTTCTGCGTATACTAGTGTAGTAAATAATCACTAGCCCTTACCTGTGGAGCTGAGGCGGGCACTAATGGCGGTGAAGGCATCTTAAACGAGCGTGGGTTAACCGTAGAAGAAGAAGGCTTAGTCTTATACGAGTCCACGGGACTTGGCTGCAAATACTGCATCTGCGGCGAGGTCTGGCGCGAGCTCACCGCGCGAGACTCGTAGCCCTGCGGGGACACCGGCGGCGCCGACTGACTCATGGCCTGTCCGTAACTCTGGTACTGGTTGCTCTGGACTTGGCCCGAGTAGTGGGAGACTCTCTGCCTGGGCTTCTCTCTGCTGTAGCCCCCACGCCCCTGTATTACTATAGTAGACGCGTACTTAGAATTTTGTATTGGTTGCTGTAGCAACGATACTGTTTCTGGCGCAGTTTGTGAAGGTGGTACACCTGTAACCATACATCGTTTTATGGAAAAAAAATCAAAGATGACCGATATCAAAATATGGCAGAATAATTCACAAACCTTTATTATATTGATTATAGCAGGGGTCCGTCTGCGTCACAAGTTTGGGAGTGTTAACATATTGTAACCGAGATGACTTTCCAACATAAACATTATGCATTTGTTGGTCGGACTGTGACGTATTCTGCTGTTCATAAGTAATCTGTTGATACGGAGACAGCATCTCTTGAGCATTCATCATATTGTTCTGCATGTCGGACTGGGAGAAGAGCCTGCCGTTATCGTACATTCCCATCTGCTGCTCATTCTTTATTGTTTGCTCAGCCATCGACATCATTTGAGTATTGTTGGTTGTCCCTGGAAAAGAGGGCGTGGTTCGGTTATTTACATGTCGCACGTGCTCAAGTAGTGTTATTCCGCATATCTTGAGTAGTCATAAAGCTTTTTGCGTTTCATGATGACAATCGATTTTCTTTTATGACATTGATACGTTTGACGCTTGAATTCACTCGTCATTATTGTGTAAAGTGGAACCTAAAAATAGTATACCGTGCAGAGACATCTGACTGGTGGGCATCGTGACCGCTGTGTTGCTCTGGTTGCTGGTCATGAAGTTCTGTGACGAGTATGTGTCTACTGACATAGCCCCGCGGTACATTGAGTCGTCGGAGGGCAACGCGGATTCTTCGGGTACTGGCGGTAGCGGTCTGGGCGTCAACAAATCTGAAACACAGAAATGAATAGTAAACAAACACTCAAACAAATGATGGACATTAAATATAAATAATTTACAAATGAATACCGATATTTACCTTGAAGTGGTTCCAATGTGTCCATAAAATCATCAAGATTGGGTTGCAGAGGACCTAAACTTGGTTGTATGAAGTCTGCTAAACTTGCGCCTCTAGCTGAAATTGTGAATAAGTATTTTTTAATTGATTTACGATTAGTTGATGGACTTTCGACATCAGTTTTACAATCACACCTGTATAGGTAACTGACCTATTTCCCTGCAGTCCGGGAAGGCGAAGGGTTGGTGGCTGCTGATGGTGGAAAAGAGTGTGTCAGTCATGAAGTTGAGGTAGTCCTCGTCTGTGAGCATATTGCCTGCTAGGTCGCTGCACTGTGAGAACGATTCCACCGTGTCCATATCCGATATCTGAAGAATTCCCATTAGTATAAACGACATGTTCAAATAGCAAACTAATAAATTATATCTTGGTGAATTATAATGATCTCTACCGTGTCCTGGACTGATGTATCTCCTTTTCCAAGGAGTCGCATTATATGAAACTTGCGCCATTTTTTATATTCTGCTATAACCGCCTCTGCTCTTCGTTTCCAATATTTACCTTCTAATATTGTTGCCTAAAATAACGTCCAGTTATTAAAATGTCAGTTCAGAATATATGTATAACAAAATGTATACGAAAAACAGTTTGTATACTTCACCTCTGGTTTTACGTGTGTGTCAACATCTAACGGGGAAGCGAATTGGCATACCAAAGTATTTTGTTTCTTTATGACTGGAAAAAATAATTTGTGTATTATAATTTCATTGCTTGGATCACTAAAATAGCACAAGTGTTAGCATATTATTATCGCCAGGTACCCTCGATACCGAAGGTGTCAATAGACGATATCAGTGTGTGAACATTGTCATCAATTACATCACACCTCCTTCTGGGCATTTGGCGTTTCATTAATATCGAGACAAGTGCTGCTCAACAATACTGATAGATGAAATAGATTACATATTTGTCCCACTTAGGTATTCTACATACATAAGTAAGGCATAGATAAATTCTTAATCACGTACACATAAGGTTCAACTTGCGTAAATCTGAAGCTTTTCTATATCATACATAATTTATTACTCAACTAGATATGGATGCGATAAAATGTTCACATCTTAAAACTCAACAGTCGACACACCTTCGTTTCAAAAGTGGGCGTGGTTTATGATAAAAATATCTACAACACCAAAAACGAGAAAATAGCAATAAATAAAATTAAACAACACTCCACAACGGGTTTGTAATAATTTGAACTATATAGGTATGTAATGAGCTGCTTAAAACTGGTTTAAACCGAACGCGTTTCAACCCCGTACTTATTTTTATAAATGCGTACACCACATCAATCGATCTCCAAGAGAATTACTGAATTGAACAGCATAACAAAATAATTTTATTCAAATTGATATAGGTACCTAAATGTGCATTATATCGCCGTAGTAGCAGTATTCAAATATAAATCAACCTTGTCTTTATTTTTATGTCCAGTGCGGGGTCACCGTTATCTCCTCTATTTTATACCTATATAGGTGATACAGAATTTTTTGCAGCTAAGTACATCAACAGGTGTATAATTTCCCAGACAATAATTGTTTGTACAAAACTAACGCGCCTACAACCAATCTCATATCAGCGCCATTATCAAAAATATTGCTTTTAACACGCGTCTCTCGCATGGCGACCTTTTTTCGGGTTCTATTTTCAGAGCCACCATAAAAAATTTAACATGTTATATTAAGAACCTCGAATCGAGCCTACGACATCTACATACAAGACGCCACGAAGCACCTCGCTTAAAATTAGCATTTCAAGTCCAAAGCGCCGTGGACCGATCACGCAAGCCGCACATGAGAGGAGATGACTCATTTTTTATAAAATTTCTATTTATTACAACAAATTAGAAGTTGTCGCATAGTTACAGATATAATATACTTATGTAAAGTAAATATACGCATACGCACGTAGTAAAATTGTCAAAGACAAGTTTGCACAAAAAATTTTGTCGACAAAAGCTACAGTAATACTGGAAGGATCGTCCCGACCCGGACAAGTGAGTGTTATTGATAAAGCAAAGTAAATTACAAAACAAATTATAGGTCTATACATAGGTATACACCTATTATAGAATTGATCTATATTTATAAGATTTCATTTAATACTTACACTGCATATGCCAGCACCGCCATATGACGTTGTTTAATCGAATCTTGTCCTTCCACCGAAGTTTTATACCTTTAAAACGATTCCATTTTGGAGACGTTAACTTTTGTCTGAGAAAAACAATACGAATACATAATTATGTTAAGAATGAAAATATGAACTCACCATGCTCTTCCTATATACAATTATACACCCGTCACAAACTAACATTAGATAACTGAACTATCATAAAAATGTTGACTATAAAGGTCCTTGAACTAAGGAGTAGCATTTTTACGTTGTTAAAAATAAACTCCATGATTGTAAAAAATAAAAAGAAATATTTGTCAAAATTGTAGACAATATTACAAGACTGTGCTGCACAGTGGAAATAAATTGTCCGACAATGAAGTGGTAAGCTGGTTATCAACATCGCTATCAATTTGTGATCTTAAGCTTATAGCAAATAACAGTTTGATAAGAAAGAAACATAGCGTATCTTATCTGCAGTTTCTACTTGTACAAATAAGAGGCAGAAGGTAAATTAGAAAAGCGATTTGTTACAATAAATTTGATATAGTTATCAATAAATTACAGGATTCAGCGGGCTCGGCGGAGTACCTACTTGTAGCAGGCACTACTTTATGGATAGCGCTTTTACATACGATTAAATCACGTCATAATCTGTTACTGGTACACTCGTCATTTTGTAGGTGTTCTCATAGTTACCAATTTGAAGAACATTTACAACTACTTGACTACAATTATAAAGCAGTTCAGAATGTTTCTCTTTCCAGCGTCTGTGGTGCTTCAAAAACCTTAAAGGCTCATTAGACACTGCAGTTTACAGAAATTGATCTCCGATTAACTAACAACTATAATCACTTCGTCGACATATCTGGTGGTGGCCCTACCTTTATGAAATAGTATAAGTAGCAGTGAATCTTATTCTTGTGATACAAATATTTTTAATTTCGTTACTACATTTCCGACAAAACTAGATATTATCGGACCAAAATCTATTAACTTCTCTAAATAATGACCAAATAATTGTTTATGAATGTGCCATCAGTAAAGCTAGTGGGCGCCGGTTAGCGAGAGTAGAGTTTGTGTCATTAATTTATTATCTACTAAATTGTCCAATTCAAATAAAAAATACATATAATTCTTGAACAAATTTCATAAAGGAGCAAAGTAGTATCTTACAACAAAATATTGGAGTGTGTGTATTTGAGGAAGTTGGAATAGTGAGCTATTCCATCTCCCTCACCTAATTCCTTTGCTCACGTGCGGGCAAGGCGAAGTCGTGTAAGCCAGTAAAAGGAAGAACTTGAATTTCTACAGTCCCACGCATGTAAGACACCCGGGTGCAACAAGGGCGATAAGAATTTGAATGGATGAACTGCATTAACTATGATTTTTTTAGAAAAAATCTGTATTTGACTTTAAATTATGAAGTGACTACTGATTGTGAATTCTTAGTGCGTGAGTGAGTTAGGTTGAGTACAGATATTTTTACTAAAGGCATTTTTTATGCTTTTGACAACCATCTCACATGGCATGCTTTGTGGAATCAGTTTTATTGATATACTGTAAGCTGGTTGATAATGAAATGCACACTACTTTGATAGAAGACATTAGCTATCAAAATTATATGTTTTAGTATAATTGTTTTTATTAAGCATTTCTCTTTAAAGACAAGACCACTCAACAAATGCTATTTGCTGGACAGTTCTAATGATCTATTGTTTATAATGTAATTACAATAAATATACCTACCTAAATATAGTTAGGAAAGAAGGAACCTTGACAAAAACAAAGGTTGGAATCTACTTACATATTATACATAAATTAATAAGTAATTAACAGTAAGTAAATAATTCCATTGCTTAAATGAAGTTCTACTTTTAACTCACCAATTTCAGTTATAGTTTCGTTTGCATTTAAAAAATTGTAACCCTGCAAGACATTTATTGTAGCATTACACTTTTCATAAGCTATTAATTTATAAAAAACTAAGTATAATATACCTATATATAAAAATACAAAGAATTTTACTATACCCTATCAATATCTGTAGGTATTCAGTTACTTCATATATTAATTTTTGGGAACTCAAGACTAGGTTTAATATAAGTCTACCAATATCAAATTGGACTTTCCTTTTAAAATATGTTACATTCCAATTAGAAATGTTTATTATGCCAATATTTTTAACCACTATAGTACTACAAATATGAAGGATTTATTTAATATGTCATACATTACATTTGTTTAATATTACATAATACATTTAATAATTTATTGAAGTATCACACAAATTTATTGCTTCACAGCATGTTTACCAATTCTCTACTCTGTATATCTGTATTCTGTCTGTGGTTCCAAGTATAAAGGTTAATTTTTAAACACATTCTATCACTTGAAAATATGTGTTCATAGGAGAGTAACTTTAGTTAATCATATGAATACAGTCATAATATTGCAGAACTACATTACTTAAATCAGTTATAAAATGAAAAGTAAATTATTTATAACTAAGTAAGTATTCATAGACTGACTTATCTCAGCATATGACCTGTGTCTTTTGTACTGACTATGATGACCTCCTCTTATCTTTGCACGCTAAACCCAATGGAAACATACTGTTTCCTTATTTTTAGAGAACATTTGATGCTTTACTGATAAGATGTTTTGATATTATTACAATAAATATCACAAGCCTATACCATGCTCCCTGCTACCAAAAATTTAAACATATTTCTTACATACACCAGCCGATTTGGTATATTTAAAAATACAAATAACATGTCTTCTAATTAATCATTAAAATCATAAATAATACTTGAGTTTGTCAATATTTGTCAGCTATTTCCATTGTCGAGTTAGATCATGTTTGTAATTAAGATAATATGCAACAAATATGCGACGAAATACGTAAGTTAAGCATGTTCAACTAAACATATACCAGGAAAACATCAATGCCAATTAACAGCTAGAGTATGTCTATTCTATAATCATCTATGGCAATATAAACATGTGAGGACTCACCTGTAAGCCAAAGTCATACATTTGAATAATTTTGTCAAAGATATCTCTATAGAAAGTTGCTGGTGCTGAACACTTTCCTCTTTATCAGGAGGATAAGGTATCATCGCCCCGGGTACTGTATAAGTTGCCACAGCTGTTACTTTCTGTACATTTTGTTTCTCATCTTCATCGGGAACTGTGACCAAGTCATCAAAGTCGTCTTGGGCTTCAGCTTCAAAATGTGACACCATAAAGTGTCCCGAGTGTATAGTCTCCTTCTCTGGTCGGGATTGCCGTTTGTCAACTTCGTTCATTTTGATGGTGTGATTAAAGATGTGTGCCAAAGTTGTAAATTATAACATGAAGTTTTATTGAATTACGTTTGATAAAAGGTCTATCAACTTTTGGACTTGTCCATATTTTTACTTATCACTCACACTCACAGACACATTGTTTTTTTCATCTGACAGCTAATGTTGCTACACTAATGAAATCATTCGATAATTTTCAATTTAATTTTCATGCTGCTAACATTGACTTTTAGATATGAAACTTGAAAGTAACAATACCATTCACCATCCAACATTGTAATCCATATGCCTGCAACTTACAGAGCATGTAATTATACTGCAACTGTCAAGTAACACCAGTTGCGTGTGTGAATACTATTTTTAAATAGATTGCTTGAAAAAAACAGCTCATAGCTCTTTCGCGTTATATAATTTCTCTCCTACATAGATTTTGGCGCTTCAATATGACTTAAATGGTTCATCAAGCATGTACATAATCAATATTATCGTATCGACTCGACTCACTCGACTGCTGAAATGCTGACTATTTCATGTGTATATAATCTATGACGCGTATCTTTTTAACTTGAGTGACATTAATCATTCATGACGTATGATGGACAGAGTAATTTTCAAATTACAGATTTGTTAGCGCCAATATTTCATCAGTTTTGTATTTTTATTATTTTGTGTATTCGTATCTAGTATTTATTTAGTGTTCAAAATGACCTCGTCACCAAGATTCAAGCATCTGGAGAGTGGACCAAAACGATCTCCTGTAGAAATAAAGGAGAAAATGAGGAAGGTAAATAAAATTAATTTCTGTTGCGTTGTTTAAAATACTCTCTGACCAAATTCATTAGTAAAATCTAGTAAAAGACACTTCTGTGCTGGATTAAAGTATAAATCTGTTTATTTTTTAATGGTTTTTCTCGTAATCAATTCAATGTAGGTTAGAGTAAATACTGTCAATAAACTTGTTCATATCCCTGGTCCCTGATAAGATTTTACTCGAACGATAGACTTTGTTGACTACTGGGAGGTCTGAGCTGAACATTTGTAGGAGTGAGTTAATTCTATGAACTGAACATTACCAGTCATACTTATTGTTACCTCTCGAATAATGAGACATATTTTCTAAAAGTATATTACTGCTTTGTTTCAGAATTACAAAAATAAAATTCAAAACTGCCGTGTTATGTTGTTGGATAAACTGAGAGGGTCCCTAATAGAGGAAGATTTATGCACCGCATTAACTGATATATACAAATCTATGTTTAATTTCTCTGATGAAATAATCAGTGATGAAGAATATGAGCTTATGGAGGAACTCAAAAATGAACTGGTGCAAGAAGAGTTAGAGTGGTATGATTAATTAATAAGCAATACAATAATAGATAGACAGTGTCAAATATTTTTATGTAACAAATAAATGTCTATAAAATGCAAATAAATTGTAGAAATACTACATAATGCGCATAAATCTTAATTTTAATAAAAGACTGCCTCATAGGCCAAGTGGTCGCAAGTGTAACTGCCAGACAAGGGGTCTCGAGTTCGATTCTCGGGCCAGGCAATACTTTGCCCAACCAGTGTTATGTAGTACTAACTGCCGTAATGTGTAGCTCTGCCTACCCCTTCAGGGTTACAGGCGTGATGTTATGATGATAATAAAGAAGTCCACATTATATTTTTAATTTTTAAGCTAAATATAGATTATCGCTACAATTGCCACAGTCACGCCACTCAGTCAGCACTTGCTTCGGTTAACTGGCAGTCGGAGCTTCAGGCTGCTGGTAGCGTTGATACTATGGTTAAGAATTTTTATAGAATTATTAATGCAGTAATTGACCAACATGTACCAGCTCGCATAGTGTCGAGCTCAAACCGATATCCACCATGGTACAGCCGACCCCTTATTAAATTAACCAAAGAAAAAAGGAAGTATCACGCAAAATGGAAACGTTACGGAAGTCTCCTGGATTATCAAACATTTTCTAGTCTTCGTAAGAGGGAGCGAAAGTTGCAAAGAGCCGACTATGATAAATTCATAACACTAAGTGAAGATCAAATCCATAAATCACCCAAATATTTTTGGTCCTTTGTGAAATCAAAGTCTCTAAATAGTGAAATTCCTGCAACAGTGAAATATGAACAGACGATTTCTAGCACTGGTGAAGATACTTGCAAGCTCTTCAATGAGTATTTTTATTCAGTTTATATTCAATCCCCAGCCCGTCCCGTAAATTTTGATTTTGATAATCCCCCTTTGAACTCTCAAGCACAAATTAATGTATTAACCGTGACCGAGAATCGTATTTATAAAGAGCTTAAAGCCATCGATCCCAATAAAGGAGCTGGCTATGATGGTATTCATCCATTGTTTATCCGAAAATGTGCAACTGAGTTATTCCCACCGCTAACTATGATCTATACTAAATCACTACGTGATGGTATTTTTCCTACAATATGGAAACAAGCTTTAGTTACTCCAATCCCGAAAGGTGATAGACGAGACGATGTAACGCAATACAGACCGATAAGCAAACTTAACCTACTTGGAAAAATTTTAGAAAAAATTGTAGCGAGTGAGCTCTCACGATTGTTACAGCGTCATATATCCCCAAACCAGCACGGCTTCTGTAAAGGTCGGTCTGTGGAAACTAATCTGCTTGATTTTACCGATTACCTAGTCAATGCTATGGATAAGCGACTTCAAGTGGACGTTGTTTACACGGACTTCTCTAAAGCTTTTGACAAAATCAATCACGATATGCTTATTGAGAAGCTTTGGAGAATTGGAGTACATGGTGATTTGCTTCGTTGGATTAGCTCATACATAAAAAATCGCTCTCAAGCCGTATTCCTAAAGGGTTACACTTCTAGTTTCCTGGAGATCCCATCTGGTATTCCCCAAGGATCACATCTGGGGCCATTGTTATTTATTCTTTATATTAATGACATCGGAGATATCCTTAAAAAATCTAATTTTCTTTTATATGCAGATGACGCCAAGTTCTTTAGGATTGTTTCTGGAGTGGACTGCTGTTTACAGTTACAGTCCGATCTCGATGGGCTCTTTAGTTATTGCTCTATGAATCAACTTTACTTAAACTTAAATAAGTGCTCCATCATCACATACACTCGAAACCGTACCCCTGTAAATTATAACTACCATGTTAACGGTGAATCCCTTAGTCGAGTTTACTCGGTTCGTGATTTGGGTGTCTTGATGGACTCACAACTCTCATTTAACTTACATATCGATCATGTGATCAAGAAGTCGTACAGGCAGCTTGGTTTCATTACAAGAATTTCAAAGCCATTTAAACGAGCTAGTACTTTAAAGTTACTTTACTTTAGTTTTGTACGTTCTCTATTAGATTTTGCATGTATCATCTGGAGCCCCTATTATGCATGTCACATAACTAGAATTGAAAATATTCAAAAGAAATTCATTAAATGTTTAGATTACCGCTGCTGTCACCCTCATGTATCTTATGAGACCTCTTTAAGATACCACAATTTGTCATTGCTCTCTGACAGAAGAAAATACTTTGATCAAATGTTTTTATTTAAAATAATTAATGGTTATATTGACTCACCCCCACTATTAGAAAGAATATATCTAAGGGTGCCCCGACATGGTTCCCGCTTGCGAACATTATTTTCGGCGCCCTCTTATAGAACAATATACACAAGTAACAACTTTTTCAAACGCAGTGTTTGCACTTATAACGAGGAATTAAATGAACTAGACATATTTAATACCAGTTTCAATGTTTATAAATCTAAAATTAAGCAGAAATATTCTCAGAGCTAGGAAAGGAATTGTATCACGGTCGCTTTATAAGTATGTAAACTCGTATATCATTTTAAAAACTTTACCTATCTGTATAATTATTTTCTTGTGTTTTTTTTTTTTTTTTAATGTATACTACTGATTTGACACCTTTAAAAACAGTGCCTTTTCGTATTTTAATGTTTTATGGAACTCTAGGTCTGTATGTATCACACTGTATTGTAATAATTTTATTTGTAAGAGACTGTTTGTTTCCTGAAAAAAAAAAAAAAAAAAAAAAAAAAAATTGTTGTTTCAGGTGCATCAAAGAGTATGAAAAAAGTCAGCAGGAAAATGTTGATTGGTCTTTAGTAGAAGAAGATAATAATGTCATATGTCCTGTGTGCCAGAAAACAAATCTTCAGCTTCAAAGTGAACATCTGACATGTTCCAACTGCAAGAGTGATATAAGGACAAAACTCTCGCTTTCCAATATTAAAAAATCTCTTTTAACTTCTTTGGAAGCACATAATGCTTTGTGTAACAGTGATGTGCAATTTGGTTTAGTTTCAGAAGAAAATGAAAGTCATATTTACCTTATTTGTGAAAGTTGTTCTGAAATGAAATTAATATTATAAAAAGAAAATTTGGCAAATTGATTTGGTCACTCAGTGATCAAATAATTCCACCAGTGAGAAATAAATTTGTACATAGTAGCTATTAATTCTTGTTCTGTTATCTACTGTTTTTCCTTTATTTTGTAAGGGCAAATTTTTAAATCAAGGAATAGGATAAAAGGAAGGACTAAAATTGATCCCTGAAAGTTTTTGTATGGAAGAATTACTAAAAATTCAATAATATTTGTCCCATAAAATTTATCTAGAGTTAGAAAAATCAGCCCTAAGTAAAATAAAGACATGCTAACTTTTGATCAGTTACATATTTTTTGTAAACAATTTGTAACCAGCATTTTAAAATGTGGATTATTTAGTAATAAATCATATTATATCTTTATGAAACAAATTAGTTTTAAGTCTGTGATATGAAAGTAAATATAAGTGTATTTTGGGTATAAAATGGAATGCCAATTGTGATTGTAACATAATTTCTTTCACAAGTCTCATTATTATCATAGCAATCGGCATTCCAGTCTCTTCCTACCTCCATGGGAGACCGGAGTAAAGTTATGTTTGTATGTATGTAAGTATAAAATGATAATTATATTATTGTTTATACAGTCGATGTAGTAGGGGAGCCCATGGCCATGAAGGTATTTCAATAACTGCTCTAGCATATTAAATTAACATAAATAGGGAATACCTAGTCATCCTGTTGAATATACCCAGCTTGATTATACTTTATCTAGATAAGAGGGAGCAACCCAAGTATCATTTATTTCAATCATACCAATATAAGGTTTTTTGAATTTAAAAAACGTCAGTAAGGGTAAAGAGGTCATGCAAGGAAGTGCATTTAAAAAAATCGACTGATTGACAGGGAGGGTTTTGAAATGGCTTTATTAACCCGTTGAAATTCATCCCCTAAATTTGCTCATACAAAAGTAGTCTCTAATATTGGAAATAAGGTCTATAATGTAGCTAGTGAAGAGTGGATACCGGTGACCGCTTGGGGATGTATGGTTAAACACCACATTGTCATTGATGACAATCGTTAGCAGATAATTTGCCAAGATTCACTATCAGTATCTGTCATGATTAAGTACTAAAACAGAACTTACACTTAATAATCTGCGCTTTCTTTTTCCTTCTTATTACCTAATCTTCAAAATCCAATCCATTCAGGGCTCCCCTACCAATGGGTGTAATATTCTACTTATTGCATGTTATGACAACAGCAGTTTAATATTATTATAATAAATTATTAGTAAACTTATTTGATTTTTGTGTTTGGAGATTTCGGGCTATTAAAAAAAACACTTGGTTACAAAATAAAAAATGACATTTTAATCAATTCATGAAGCATGGTAACAAGGTATATTGTAAATTATTATTTTTGTCATATCGGGGTTAGAACATCTTTTACACGTGATTACTTCCTACCAAAAGATTAGACTAAACGGTAACTTGTATAAAATGTACATTTATTATAATATTTATAATATGTAGTATAAAACAGTACCATTTATTCCGATATTATATGGGCATCTTTTGTAGTTGAATTCATCCTTAGCATAAAATGGTCAACTATATGAATTTACTCTAGGCCTGAAAATAAAAGCTTTTCAGTCAATTCTATACTTGTAATAGTCAACAACTCTTGTGTAATGTATTAAGGCATATAGTATAATCTGTACAATCAGTAAATATCACTAAAACGACGCAGCACTTGATCCATATTTAAGACATGCTTGTGTTTATACCCTTTAATATTTTACTCTCAAATAACAATCATCTTATAATTTAAACACAATATATTTATTACGATATAATATAGTTAAACATTATTATTGCATTCCAATTCTCATAAGCATTTTGTAGGAAGTTCGTTTGATTATTATAAACTACAATAAAAACGGAAATAATATTGTACAGATTATATAAAAGTAAACAATGACAATCTGGGTATCAATAACTCAACTGAAAGTGACCAAAAAGTGTAAAGAAGAGACAATAATCAGAAATGAAATAAAATTAAATTATAGTGTTATACTAAAATTATATCTAACCTATGTATTAATTCATTTTCTATATTTATTAACTAATGTTAGTTTTGGCGGGCCTCGCGTGGTTTTCAAAAAATTAACTAGAGCACTTCACATGTGAAACAATTCCTTTTAAATTGAAACTATAATGCTGTATAAAAATAAAATCAGGATAAAAATATATCGGTGAATGAACATAGTTAAACAATATGAATGCTGCAAAATTTTAATGTACTTACATAATTTGTTCAAACTACTTATGAAATGAAATTAAAACACAAAGGAGTCATTTATTCTGAAACAACATTCGAAAACAATGTTAAAACCTCCAAGGGCGTACACTAAAACTCGTGCGGGTGTTCACGTACTCAAAAATATGCAGTATGATATTTACGATAGGCAGAGGTAGAAAAAGAAGATGTATTGAATATTGCTATTGCTACTCAACGCAGGGGTAGACACCCACCCGCACACATGCACTCATGTAAAGTTTTAATATATGCCCTAAAAATTGACTCACACTTATTATGATTTAACTTCAGAATATCTATGTAACAAAGTTAACAGGAGAGGTAAACCCGCTTTATTAAATTAATACATACCAGTAGTTAAATTAACACAACACTTACCTATTCTCATTTTTCAATTATTACTAAAGGTACTTACTATATAGGTAAACCTTGAACGTCCATGAGGTCTTCATGTTGAGCATGGGAGTGAGCGGAAGCCGGAGGTATGGTGAAGTGGTGGTGTTGAAGTCTCGGACGCCGCGGTGAACGTGCAGTGACAACACGGGGTTTATGAATCTCGTCCAGTACAGAAGGCGCCACGTAAGTAAAGCCCTGAGAAATCATTAGTTTAATATTTTTGTTTAGATTTTTCAACTAACATACAATAGGTAAGTACTTATGCGAAAACAGCTAGAACGGTACAAAATCTAATTTTAAAAGATGCGACTTAGGACAGTTAGCCTCGACAGTTAGTTTGGACATAGCAAGCCTTTCGGTGGGGCACTAAGTGCTTCTTCCGAAGTTGGCCCTACGGCTTCCGAGAAATTGTGCGACTGGGCCTCCAGTTTCTTTGCAGACAAAAGCATCCAACTCGTTAAGTGTGTAAATGCTGGCGTCGTCTCTCAAGACTATTAATGACTTGTTGCAAATCAATTCACATTGATCACTCAAACCGTCTGGTTCTTTAGGCACAGCCGTTGCGATGTCTATTTTCCGTTCCTATTTCCCCGTACAGTTGTTTGGTCTGAACCGTTCTGTGCGACAGCAGTTTCATCACCACTATCTAGACTAGATCAATAACTGTGCGTGTTTTTCGATATTTTCAGTTTAACACGGCAAATGGAATAAACTGTTATTACCGAACCAATACTAGAAAAAGACCTTCAAGAGAAAGAGCCGACTCCTAAAAATATCAGTAACACACTTATGATGTCTATGGTGTTAATGGGCTGCACTATTTGCTTACCATTAGTTGGTTGTCTGCTCATTTGCCATAACAATAATAAAATAACTATAAATTTACGGAAATATCTCTTATATTTTATTACTTACTTGGAACATAAGGTTGGCACTTTCACTAAGTGTAGACTCATCAGGCGAATCGATTGGCGTCTGCAGAGTAAATCTTGTATCGAACTGCGAGACATCGTCATCACTTGTCTGGAACAAAATAATTTTTTCATACAACAGCTAAAAAATATTGAAATCATGCTTGGCTAGAACTATTGAACAATAATCTGCGTCTGGTTTAAGTAAAATGATGGTATTTCATTTTTTATTATAACAAGGTAAAAATAACCTTGTAAAAGTATACTAAAACCAAATATAGTCTTACCAGTCTAGGTTTGATTGGTGGCTCCACTCTTCTATTAAACACGTCATCCCAATGAACATGTTTGAAAAAGGCATGCCCACGAATTCCGGCAGCACCCTGAGATCCTAAGCGTTGAGTCTCCGAACGCTTCATTAAACGCCGTATCAAATCACGGGCGTCTTGTGTGAGGTAGGCAGGAAGCATAAGTTTACCTTTTAATATTTTCTCTATAGTTTTTGTACGATTATCCCCAGTAAATGGTGGCTGAAATATAATTACTTCAATTAACAATTTTATCAAATTGTAGCGTTCAATTTTTTAATGGCATAATCCGTCGATTTTGCATGTATTCTTTTAAAGAAAAAATCATTGTAAATAGAGAGAGTAATGTTCATGATTTAATATCCATTAAGTTTTGTTCACTTTAAGATTTCGATTCACTTGTCATTGTCGATGCTTCAGCTTAACAGTTATGGCACATTTTCAGCAGAGTAAGAGACGCTTTTTGATTTTTTTGTTACTATGCTCAGGGGTCTATAATAGCCACAACCTAAAACTTGACAACCTATTAGTACAACACTATGGTTATCAACAATATAGTTCAAGACATTTAAAATATTGACATCATATGCCTCACAAACCACCACAAATATGGTTGCTGTCATCCTAGACAGGGATTACATAAAAGTGTTAAACTAACAATACCTTGTGTTCTTTTCTTTATAAAATTACTGTCAAAGCCAGTTTACTAAACTTTCTTTATAATTTACATACCTATATCAAAAATATATATACATGTCACAAACCTGTCCGATGAGCATATCATACATTAAAGCTCCAAGACTCCACCAATCTACAGCTTTGCCATGGCCACTTCGAGTCAAAATCTCTGGTGCCCTTAAATTTACAAAACAAAAAATTACCTATGCATGTATATTAAGGGAAGGCCTAAGTTGAGAAGTGGACAATTTCATAGTTATATGACTCATGCACACTAATGTCATGAGGACTTTGGTCATGTGCTTAAAAATAATCAACTATCTCTTCTAGGGATTCCAGTATCCAGTAATAGTAAATATTGGTCAGCAAATATTAACAAACAATTTTAGATACTTACATGTACTCAATTGTTCCACAGAAAGTGTGAGTAACTATTCCTTCTTGGATGTGTTCTTTGCATAACCCAAAATCAGTCAGTTTCACATGACCTTGTGCATCCAAGAGTACATTTTCTGGTTTTAGATCACGATAAATTATACCAAGGCTATGTAAATGTTCTAAGGCCAAAATTATTTCTGACAAATAAAAGCTGGAATAAAATAAACACAATTTAGATAATATGTCTAACCCCATTAACATAAAGTATAAAATTACTTGTAACTAACTTACCCTGCTGTATCTTCTAAGAATATACCCTCACGTTCAAGATGCATGAAAAGTTCACCCCCACTTAAATATTCTAATATTAAGTATAACTTGCCTCCAGTTTGGAAAGCATATACCAACTCCACTATAAAAGGGTGCTGAAATAAACCATAATTTTACTGTGCCATGTACAAACTTAACAACACTTTTAATAAAATAAATGCAATATTTTACTTCTAACATTAGCTTACCTTCACAGCCTCTAAAATATTTCTTTCTGCCTTTGTATGGGCAGTATCTTTTTGATTGCGTACTATAGAAGCTTTTTTTAGAACCTTCATAGCAAAGTGAGCACCAGCATCAGGACCAGTAACTTTACGGACTTGAAACACTTTGCCATATCCCCCTTTCCCCAAAACTTTGCGTAATTCAAAGTCTTGAGGACCAAGACGCCTACATTGCCCTGGATTTACATTATCTTCAGATAAATTGATAGTTTCAGAATCTTCAGTCCTAATACACAAAAGGAAAAAGTTATTTTCACTTAAAAATACCACATGACAAAAATTACACAAATATTAGTATTTTTACTTACTCTACGATGGCATTTACGTGAAGCTCGGGTTCATAATCAACCTGTAACTGAAACACGTTAAAATATTTTAGTTTTGTGATTGTGCTCGTAAAATAAGTCTATTGTAGTATTTTTGGTAAACATTCTAAAACACAAACAATCAGCACCAGATACATTACAAAAGCTATAATTATACACGAAAAGGTTGACCTATAATAAAATTGGTCACGAAAATAAATAAAATTATCTACGACGAATTTATCCTTGACAATCATGAGAATATGGAACAGGTTTTAGGTTAAGTAATAATGAGGTGTATCTAATTATAAACATCATGGTATCAATACCTCATCAACTTCGATTATGTCGTCTTCATCCGAATCTGCAACCACAACAGCATCCACTTCTAAATCTAAATCAAATACTCCAGCCATATAAGATGACATTTCAAGACTATCACATCAGCAAAACTTTACTTTTCTTAACAATATTGTAAATGTACACTAATCTGCCGTTTGTTTCGCTCATAAACACAATTGTTAAAATAAAATAACACTCAAAGTTTGCAAGTTATTTTTTGATCGTAGTTTCTCGAGCATAGATAGCTTTTTATCAACAACAGCGTACACGAGAATGTGATGCACTTATGCGCGACATTAGTGTTGCAACACTAAAAGGTATAAACTATAGATGATAATAGGGGAGGTCCATAAATATTGATAAAAATAACCGGTTTTAAAAGCATAAGTTTAGTCGAGTGAAAAATGTTGGCCACAGGCACGAATGTCGGAGAAAACTAACTAAATATAGGAAAAAACTGCTCTATATTCAAATAAGTAAACTGAATCTCGTAATATAGGGTAAAAACGTTATGATTTATTTTGTATAGTCTATCTCAGATCAATTTTTTTGAAAAGGTCTTATAGGAGCTATATGAAAATATATCGTTTGGCAGAAAAATATAGATAATTAACACTGAGAGCATATACTACACTGAAAAAAATATTTTTGTATTAATATTCGTAAAACAATACAGAAAGCACTTTACTGAACAAAAAGTAACACTTTTTATACAGTATGTACTCATTCATTATTTATATGCCCTTTATTTTTATTATAATTTTCATTAATCTGAACGCATCCTAAATTTTTATTTTCTGTCTGACTTTCTGTCATCTGTCTGCAACTGAGGGTGTAAACATGATTTACTTAGAAAAGAGTGCTTTTGTACTTTTATAGTTGTTTTTACATGCTAGTGAAACTAACAAGCATGTTTGAAACATATAGTTCATTGTGATACTTTTTTATCTATTAAATTAACAGTGTTTATCCCAATGGCCAGTGACAACGATAAGAGTTCGAATAATCATAACTTGGATGGTTCACTTAAGAGCAACAAGAAGTTAACGAATAGTGGAAGTATTGGTAAGCGTTTTATTTTACTATTTAATTATGTATAAAACGATTTGTTCAGTATGTCTTAATCTTAAGTTTGATTACAAGTAACCTCGAAGGCAAAGTGCTGCCAGTAATCCAGTCTTAATTTCCAATAACTTAGTAATCTCGTAATTAACGTGCAGATACTTTTGAACATGTTGTTTTAATGTTATACTATATGCATTTACTGTACTTCCTCACTCTATTTCACAAATATTTACTTGGAAGTGTCAAAAACATGTATAAAAAGTTTTGAATTTATAACAGATTGTGTTATACATCAACATAATGATAAATGTTCTGGGAAGTTTGATTTTATTGATAATGTTTGCAGAATTTCAATTTTAAATCATGGTTACCTATATGAGTTGATGTTTGTAGCTTGGTCAATGTTGTTACTTTCTTATTGCTTCTACAGTCTTATTAGAGACATTTTCTTTTTATATCATTTTATAGTGATTAAAAAGAAAACCAAAAATACACTAGTAGTGGCTTCACTTGAAGTAAAATTATTTTTTTATTTATACACTAACTTCCTTTTATTCAATTCAATGTTATTTCATTTGAATTAACATATGTTAAAGTAAATCTAGTACTTACTATGAATTTGTGGTGTCAGTTAAGTTTTCAAAAGATCTCATTCTCAACACTGAGTGACTGCGACACTATTCAGAGTGCTATTCCAGCAATACTTTAACTCAGGGCATAATAACCTCATGACTCTATTACCATTTTTAACTTCACTTAAATTCTTTAATGTTCATAAAAATGACTCATCTTATATAAGAGAAAAAACAAGGAAATAACTGAAATATTGTAAATCATATAGGAATGTTATAGCATTCAGTCAGTTGGAAATAGGCCAAAATCATTATTGTCAAAGTTATGTCTTCGTCGAAAAGAGAAGGAGTAACATACCACATACTTTGCCAATATTTGTAAAAAATATGTTTTGTAAATTTTAAATTTCTGGTTAAGAAAATATGGGAAATAAATAAACAAAAATCTTGTAACTCTTCCACAACTTCGTACATATCCCGATATAAAAAACAAATAAAAATTATGTGGTGCATTTATAAAGTAAGCTATGTAAGTACCCGTGGAGGACTTAATGGGTTTCCGGGGCTCCGGCTCGAAGTGCAGAGGAAGGAACGGGTGATTTCTAGTCAGTAAGAGCCTGAAACTCCCTCTCGCCTCACCCGGACCGGGAGAAGTCATTGGATGATATTGCACCCCCTCAAAAAAAAGCTATGTACGTACAATAATGTATCACTATTTCGTTATTCGGTTTGGATAACAATAATATTTATCTATTTAGTATTGTGAATATAGTACTTTTAGAATTTTATTCCTAAATGGTCACATATGGAGCGAGTGGGACTGGGATGCCGTCTCCTCCTTTTGCGAAGCAGTTATGCTAGCTAAGGAGGAGGCGGGACGCGTGAGGCAGCGAAGCGCTGCCTCCTCGCAACCCAGCCATCGCGAAGAACACACCGGACGTCGGGGATCGCGGGACGATCTCCGGCCACCGTAAGCGCGGGCCTGCGGACGGCGAGTATGGGTGGCTCCCCGTCCGACCAGAAACAGACCCGAACGTACGGCGCGTCGCGTTCCGCGCGCGCCTCAAAGAGCCATCAGACCACCACAGGGCCCAACAGGGCCAATGCCGATTCGGAGTCGCGGAGAACCTAACGGGTCACCGGGTCTCCGGCTCGACGTGCAGGAGAAGGAACGGGGTGGTTTTTAATCAGTAAGAGTCTGACACTCCCTCCCGCCTTACCCACGCGGGAGCAGTCATTCAATGATTTTCCCCCCATAAAAAAATGCTCACATAAAAATTTTATCTCACCTAAAAGGTAAAAGTTACATTTTAGGTGAGATAAAATTAAATAGTAGTAATAAAATTTAATAACATATTTTTTCTATAAAATTTATAAAATATTACGAATGTCGTCATACATTATGTACGAGTCATCCATTCACAGCTGTCTTCGTAAACGCCACATGTAATGTCATTTTTCCTACAAATTTCGACATTTGTCGATTGTGGGACAATGACATTTGATTTTATGTAAACAAATTGTTGTTCAGTTCAGTCAAGTACCTAATTAAAATTATTAAATAAACTGGAAGTATAAACTACCAATTTGCGTGCCTAAAATTTTTGTTGGTACTGCGTCCTCAGTTTTACTATGCGGGGCATTTGTCAAAATTGATGCCATCACTTTCATCAATATAACATGGAAATCACATTAGAAGAAAGTAATACCGAGAAGATAGCACCTTTACTACATGAATTTGTTAAACGAATTTTAAAGGAGAGTAAAACATATGATTCTATCCAAAAAGATTTTTTATTTATTATGATTATTGTTTTGATGATAGAAAATGGGTTCTTACTTGTTAGTGAAGATAAGGAGGTCATAGATCCCATAGCATCTTTCAGTGTTGCCCAACTATCCAACTGGAAATCACCCTCTGGGATATATGAATCTACTTTCATAATGTCTGGATTTAAGAACATTACACTAAAATTGATTATGAGTCCACTGGGAGCAACTGTGTTAGTGAATTTAGTAATAAATGAATTAAACTATGATACTTATTCTATTTGTATACCCATCAGTCGCTATGTGGTGTCACCTCAAGCTACATCTATTCCAATGATATTTCGGGATTTGAAACATTTCTCAACAACTTTCAAAAATAAAACTGTGTCTGCTGTCAAAAGTAGAATATTAAGTCATCACGGTTATGCAAGTGCTAGTTTAATGGGAGTGCCAGAGGAGGTACTTTTCAATATTATGATAAACCTGCCCGTGATGGATATACTTAATGTGTGTAAAGCTAACACAAGGCTGAAGGCATTACTAGAAAGTGATAGTTTGTGGTACTCCTTGTGTAAGAGAGATTTTAAAAGTGATCAACAAACAGATGGTAGAAGTTGGAAGGATCTGTACAAGCAACTTTATATCACAGAACAGGACAAGAAATTAAGGAGCCAAAATCGAGGAGCTGGAAGTATGCATGACTACATGGACTATTCAGATTATATTTCGTATATTGATAATCCACTGTGGAATGTTATTATTTAAATTAAATTACTTATGTTAATGTCGAAGCTTGTATCTGTATTAATCTGATTAAATTACAATGCAATAAAATAAAAACTTTAAATAATGTGAAATAAAAATGGTTTTGCTCAAATTACTGTGTTATAAACTCATAACCAATTCGAGATAATAAATGGTGTTTATTATTTTTATCTGTTCTTGCTTATGTTGTACATAAAAGCTTTATATATTTTGCTTAGGTGACATCGAGGACAAATCAAATCTGGGTGTCCATCCTGTGGGAAAAGGTGGTCGACATTTGTCTATACCATTTGATTCAGCAACAGCTAATGGTGATCTAAGTGAGTACAAGATTTTGTCAAATTATGGGTAATGGGTACTACACACAGATATGGCTTGTCCGGGATAATCTGTCTTATTAATTTTAATACATACTCGAAGGTACTAAAGGGCAATTTACTATATAGTGTTTGTGGAAATAAACTGGAAGCTGTCATGCTCATTTTGTGTTTTCATAGGACACATTTTTATCTAAATAATGAAATGTGTGTAATGGCCTAGCAGTCTCATTCATACCTATGTACCTGAAACAAAAAGTTTTGGAAATAGAAAATGCCTGTGGAAAACTGTGTAAGTAAATAAATACTCATAATATTTGAACTTCATAGCTTCTTATGAACTAATTAAATAGCTATTGATGCTGTAAGTGAACATTGCAATAGCATTATTAATAAATGTTTAACATCCATTGTCCAGTCAATAGATTAAAATTATTTGTTGTCTCATGATAGGATGTAGTTATATCTATATACTAGCGACCCGCCCCGGCTTCGCACGGGTGCAATATGCATGTATTATACATACAAACCTTCCTTAAGAATCACTCTATCTATTAAAAAAAACCGCATCAAAATCCGTTGCGTAGTTTTAAAGATCTAAGCATACATACGGATACGGACATACAGCGAAAGCGACTTTGTTTTATACTATGTATTGATTTGAAAGAAAGTCGTGTTAGTTACACTATTTATAACCCAAGAACGGCTAAATGGATTTGGATGAAAATTGGTGGGAAGGTATCTTATAACCAGGAGACGGACATAGCATACTTTTTATCCATTTTTTTTTTCACCGAATGTCACGAACTGGAAAAAACGGGATGGCGCGTACGAAGACGCGGACAGATGGTAGTAATTTTATAATGCTAGTAAAGCTAATGTTTTTCTCTTAATCGTATAAACAAAAAAAATGTGTGATATAGTGTTTTTAATGCACTACTACTACTATGAGTAATATGAGGAATATAAAAATTACTTATTGGGTAAAAAGAGGCATAGAAATACCTAATTTAGAAATAAACATATTTGCTTATTTAATGTGAAACATGTAATAAAAGAACAATAAATTGTTTTCTGAAAGAAACAATATTAATGGGTGCTCATGGTTGTGTAAATTATACGCCTAAAGATGGACATTTCATAAATATTGGGCGTTTACTACATAGAAAGGATCACGTTAACACAGTACACGTGTTTGCATGGGGGACGGAGGGCCTGCGTGGCGGCGGGCGGCGGCGGCCCGCTTACAGAAACAGAAAGGGTGAGGGATGCGCGCGTGAGATGCGCCGCGCAGCCTCCGCTCGCTCTCCGTCTATGTGGCGCCGCCATCGGTGAGTTGACGTGAGTTGTGAGAGCTGGACGCCACGCTGAGAGTGCTACGTTGATGTAGGCCCGTGTGCCGTGTTTATTGTGCTGATGGGCTGGTATAGGTGAACGGCCGTGGAGGGCCCACGGGCGCTGCGCGACCGACCGCCGTGGCGGTGCTACGGACCCATGCTAACTCACAGTCGATCCGACGGCGATTTTCCTGTGTACACTAGAGGTGAGAGTGCCCTCTCTTTTCATGAAATCATTGCCTCAGAGATTTGTTATTTGACAAGTGTATTTCTAGTTGTAACGTATTTCCTTTGGGGACTACGTATTTAATAGGTATCTACAATAACACGATCTCTAGCTAGATAGGTGCTGGAAACTATATAATGTAGGTACTATCGTTTACTCCTATAGATGTTGGTATCCATTAATGCCTTATAAATGATGGTCGTCGATGAACGGCGTCGGACTGTCCTAGAGTTGTTCTATTTAGTTAATCGATATCTATTTTAAATAGATATATTTTCCCAATTTGCCACATATTCATACATATTTGTAAATTAAAACATAATAATGTACCGTGTATTATGGCTAAATAGATTTTAATAGCGAAGTATACGTATTATGTGTAACATAATAGGATATTTTTTATAATTTATGGCTTCATTGCTTGCAATTAGCACGCTACGTAGGTTTCTAGCATGAAAATATGGTTCGTTTATTTTCTAGGGCAATAGACATCTATTTATAAAAAGGGACTGCACGCTTAATCTACCCGAGCTCATCATCAAAAGCGGACACTATGTTTATTCAAGCCTATTTTTTTTACATTTTTTATACAACATTTCAGGTCATTTAATGTTGAATTAATTGACTAGATTGATGCCTGCGTTCGATGTGGGCAACTAGAATAAGTAGGTACCTACTGTCTTGATAATAAGAAACTATGTTAATTGGAAAACTCATTCTAACTTTATAAAAGTAGTAAGATTGCTTGGAAACGTTGTTATGACTTTAAAACGGATTTGGTCTCGTAAATAGTGAGACCTTATTTTCTACCTCATCATGTCCATTTCTAATCAGATTGTGACAATATTGCTTCCTCCTATTACGCAACACTGCAAACATTTTAATGAATTAAATAAATACTTATTATATCATTTTCGGATAACCTTGTAAATAAGTTGATTGCTATTTGTTGTGAAGAAATCAACACAATCAAGCACCAATAGAAAAACATTTTGATAAGTAGATGCTATCAATTGCTATCTAATCTCAAAATTTAATGCGTGATGTCTCAGTATTATTTGAAACTGTGTACTGCTAGGGTATCAAAGTGTTAAGATATGTTAATATTTGGTGTGTGCATTGGCAATGTGAAGCTGAGTGTGTTCTGATCGACATGACAATATGGATGTTATAACAAAAAAAATAAAAACGCGGCATAGGCCAGTGGACGACGAGACAAGCAGTGATTCTGAAATCTTAGACGAAGTTTACTGTAAGTCACATTTTCTATGTACTGATTTTAACTGCTATCGTACATACCATATGTGTTATACACACACTTCTTATATGTTTAATAATTGTTCGAAATACCTAGGCATTACTTATGTCTAAATTATCACGCAGATGTGTTGGTAATTTCTGCCATTTTCAAAAGTTTCATCTCCAAAACAGACAGTATTACTAGGTAATATAATTTATACCTAACTGTTTTACTTATGAATAACTATATAACTGCTTTAATCGTTATTTATACAACAAACTAAATACTTTTGATAAAAACAATATCCGAAATAGGTACACTATGATTGAGCTGTTCTAACTCTTTTTTTATTCTCGTCAATAATACTTAGTTACTAGATAATTATGTATTTTTTCTATATTGAGTTAGTCATTTAGGTACAATTGATAAGACAAATTTAATTAGCGTAGACAAAGCAGATTAGTTATGTAAAACCCGAAGTGGTAGATATAATTTAATAAAACCTTGAAAGATGGTGGATAGTGGTATTCTTTAAGATAATTAGTAGTAGTACCTAAATAGAGCTAAATTAACCATAAACAGTTTACTACAAATAACACTCTGAAAGTCAGTGATTTAGTAGGCACGTACAGTTCACGTCGATGTAGCGACAGCGATCTGAGGAGGCGGTTTAAGGCCTCAAAATGCATAAAAAGGAAGATGCAATTTTTTGTAGCAAACTGAAAAGTCTTGACGATCAAAATAAGCTCATTTCGGTCTTATTTGCTATACGATAGATTCGGATGATAGTGGAGGCCGAGATTTGGATATAAGCCATAAGTGTTCAGTTTGGATAGGAGGATTTGATGGTTCGCGAGAATTGGATGCATATAAATGAACGAGTTTTATTCCACCTAAGATTTACATACGTAGTATAATAACCAGCGGGAGTTTGTGAAAATACACTTACATGGTACCTACTTATCTATCTGCTATAATGTACCTAAAAAATAAGTACCTATTTCTCTAGTCGTACCCACAGACAACTTGTAAATGAAATTTTTAGTTGTGCAGTCAAGTATAAGTTGTATCCGTCATTCAGTGCCCTATTGCCAAATATACTAATCTAGTTTGTTCGCTTTAAATGGGTAACTTGACCACTAGTGTTGGTTGGTCACGGATCGACACTTCGACAGCGAAAGTGGAAATCGAAATGGCAGTACCACCAAATGTTATGTAAACAATGTTTAAACGAGTACAACTTCGGTCGTTGATGTTGGCTAATTATACTATTTAGTCTATGTAAGTAATACCATAACCGCGCCTCGGAGATCATATTAAGCCGTTGATCCCAATTATTATACATACATCTATAAGAGTTGTTACCTATAGCTAGTCAGAAGCATGAAAAACTTGACAGCGGGTTTAATCGAAATGTGGAATCAACCTTAGTAGAGGTTGTGTAGGCCAGAGGCACTTATCTTATTCAGCATTCAAGAAAATCTAGTTAAGACTAACCCAAAACTAATTGAGCAAGACTGGAAATTAAACATCATAACCTAGGTACTGATTACTTATGAGAGTGTGTTAATACTTACCTGCAGCCTGCAGCTACGTGGACTATAGCCACACATAAGGCATACGAAGGCTAGCTAACACACGGCGTCGTGGTACCTATTCGAAGCTGTTTCCATTATTAAATGAGCACCTCCTCTTTTTTGGGAAGTCGGTTAAAAAATTACGATAGTTGTCAACGTATGGAAGTTTGACTACGGCACGGGTGTAAAAAAAGTTTGTTGAGGATATCTGTTACTTACTATTAGACTCTGTACACGTTATATGACAATTTTATCTATAACTAGGTATCGCGTGACTACTTCCTATGAAATACCTCACATTTTATGAGTAGGACACATTTGTTTTTATATTAAAACCATTTATTTGCTATAGATCTCAAGTAAACTCAACAAATTAACTGTCTGCGCATCAAAGATCCATGGTATTTGCATGTCCATTACTATTTTCACCAGGCAAACGTGCTCATATGTTTTCTCAATTAAGGTACCTTTGGGTCTATGAGTTTTTCAACTTGGGTATTATTAATTCTAGATTTATAAAATATTGCATTTCTATTCATTGTCTACATTTCGCACACTCATAACTGTGTGAATAAACCTTGCGGTAAAAAAAACGTTTCTTAGTGAGCAAAACCGTTCAATGGTTGAGGTACCTGGTGAACCAGCAGAGTAACTGAAGGGCTTTTAATCGTAAAATCAACCTGTTAGTCACTGTTTTTATAGAAAACCAATGCTTCGTTTGTTACGAAGAATGTGCATTTAAGATGTGGTTATCAGAAAAAGAACAATGGTTCTATTTAATAACTAAAAAACATTACTTCAGAACGTGTTGTGTATATCAATAGTTGATTTCATTTTATCTAAATTCAATCTTTCATAATATCTACATCATGGTGGTTTTTTCAGCAATCTATAACGACAGAGTGCTTAAAATTCTACCAAAAAATTCGAAGATGTCAGTAATTATATTAGATATCTAGTCTATCAGTTAATCACTGTTTTGCTTGTTTAGCTACAAGAGCATTATGCTTATCTGAAATTAAAATTTTGACTTACTACGTGATGAAATCTACCACGTATCTATGGAAATTCATAATGCATTACGTAGTCGTCCAATGTTTGGAATTTATGTCATCATTACAAACAATCATTGTAACTGAACATTTTGCCTGAAATCTATATTTGCTGAACGGTTTGGGTAATTTTTGTTTTGAAATGTTCGTGAAAATCCGGGGAAGGTTTATAAGATGAGGTAAAAAATATAGGCGGTACAAAGTTTGCCAGATCAGCTAGTACTTAATAGATTTTTGGTTCTTCAATCAGAACTTTATAAACGGACTTGAAATGTGAGCCTGCCTGCCTGAATTTGCCTGATCTACAAACTCACTAGTATTGCCCTCTTTGCCCACGCCCATCTTTTCTCTATTGTTGCTCTTTTCCTCCTTTAAAGTAAAACCAACATTCTTGACTTGTTTTTTTCTCTCTCGTCTGTTTACCTGTATGAAGCTTGTCAACCTTGAACTTAAAACGGCGTTACCGTTGATTACCTACTAGAGAATTTATTGTTCACAATAATTGTCTACATGTGAAACGCTTAATTAAGCTTGTAAAAATGTATACTAAACAAATGTATCGTATAAATGGAAGTTGTTAATATCTGCGTACAAAATAAATGATACAATACAAAAAGAGCAAAACGTTCATAATTCCGGTGGGCCTGACGCTGCCGCTACGACGCGACGTGCCGTAGTTCGCTGTAGGCCGGTTGTGTCTGTGTTGACGTGACGCGGCAGATACACGCTCGTCTCACCACGACTATAGCTCAGAGAGGCGAGCTGAGTGCATTGCAACATGCAGGAGGGACAGAGGCAGCCGGGCCCCCACTCTGCCCCGCGTTACCGGCCGCCCGCACGCCAGTTTGCCGTTGAGCGTCTCTGGCGGCGCAGGCATTTCGCAATGAAAACGTCGTGATCGGCGTTGTTCGCGTCGGTTTCACATCTTGTGTCTTTGTTTGGTGTTCATTGATAGTGTAATTGGTGTTATTACAATAGCGAAGATGTCGTCTGTTCGACATGGCGACGCGTAGTTGACATGTCGCTGAGCGCGCCCGTCCAGGCGGTGCGCGGGACTAGGACCAACAGCCTCGACCAACTTGATTTTCAGGAGCGCAGGCAATTGATTGCG